ATTAGTTTAAATAGAAGTACTAAAAGTATTAAAGCTAAAACTGAAATAAAAACTAAACTAAATATTAAACAAAACATGTATACTATAAAATAAATAAACTACAAAAACTAAAAAAATTACAAAAATTAATTAAACGTCAGACCAATTTAGGAATAAATAATTTGATTTTGCAATTCAGATAAACAAATTTAATAACATATTAAGAATTAAACATTGCTACTCATCACATAAACTCAGATGGAGATCCAAGGCATATGTTTGTGAAAAACAACTTTCATTTCTGACTTAAACTATCGTTTATGGTGCTTTTTTATGTTCATGTGAATTATTCCTTGCAATTCCCTTACAGATACAATTTACACCATCCATGCATGCCATTTTCATAATGAACACATCCAAAACCAACTGTGGACTGTGTTCCTGAATTACTTTATTGCTGTTATATACACTATCATATCAGTAAACCAACACACTGCCTAAATGGTCAGCATGGCTCTCCTAGAGGCTTAAAAAACAAAACAGTCATTCAGAGCGACATGATGCATCAAAACTGGAATGCTCCTATTATAATCAACAAAGCTGCAAGTTTACACAGTTTCACGTGACCATTTGAGTCCGCGGTTTGGCATGAGCTCATTGTCTGCATGCAATTCTGGATTCTCTCGAACATTCCCATTATAATCAGCAAAGTTTACTCTGCAAAATAACTCAACTCTGGGCCTGGAGGCCCACAGTCCTGCAGAGTTCAGTTTCTAATCCTAATCAAACACACCTGAAGCTAATCAAAGTGTTCAGGATTACTTGAAAATTGCAGACAGGTGTAAAATATGAAAAAAATAATAATTAACAAATAGTCTGAATAAAATAATTCCTAACTAATACCTGATCTCACTGTTTTCTTTATCATCACACATACCTTGTCCAATTTATCCACAAGTGTAGCCAATCTCCCCAGTGCTTCCAGGTCACGACCCCTCTGATTGGACACACGCACCAGCCGGTGAAGCGCATCATCCACACTGTCATACAGGTTAGAGGTCACTGCCAGAGCAGCCCTGAATGCACAAAGTAATGCAATACTACAGTCAGACAAGCAGAATTACAACATTTCGCATCATTTTAGATTTTAAGTAAATGCTATTAAATGTGGCCCAATCCCAATTCTATTTTATACCCCTTCCCCTTCCCCTTCCCTTACCCCTCCGCCTAGGGGTCAAGGGGTAGGGGTGAAAATATTCCCCTAAGAATTGGGACACCACTACTGTGTGGTCTCCTACAATACACACACCTATGCTGGTGAGCATTAGAGCCTTTAATTATCGTTCTATATTAATGTGCTGCTTACTGGCACACACACACACACACACTCTCTCTCTCTAATTGGCAATATTTGAGAAAAGGGTTTAGCGATTTACAATTATTGGGGGGACTAGCTCCCCTCAATGTCTATCTATGGTTGTTATCACCCTGATCAGACATGCCAATATGTTGTGGCACTATCTTGCAGTCTGCAATGACATGACATTAGCAAACTTTAGCGATTTTTTGCAAACATTTCTTTGAGTAACATGAGTATAAATATGAACTCACGATTGAAAGTAACATAAAATAAAACATTTATGTGTCTTTTTGTTCGCTCGGGCAGCCATGTTGCCGTTGAAAATGGTTTACGCTGAAATAATTCATACCCCTTCGTTTGAAGTGTGGTCCCGAAAAATCTTCGTTTGAAGGGCTATCTGGCCCTTCCCCTACCCCTACCCCTCCAATCAAAAGAGAATCAAGACACCCCTACCCCTTCACGTGAACGCGCAAAATGGAGGGGTAGGGGAAAGGGGAACGGCTAAGGGGTAGAATTGGGATTGGGCCTAAATGTCCACTAAAGATTACATTTAAGTGAAGCTAAGCGAAATGTGTAACTTATTCAACAGAATTATTATGTATATTCTCTGTATTCTATTCATACTTGCAGTCTGGGGATTTCTGTGCCAGCCCTGGAGTCCCATTGGCCAGACCTGCCAGCCAAGTCCCACCCCTCTGCTGCAGCTCTGTCAGCCGTTGGTCAGTGAGGATGCCTGTCATTAACTGCCTGTGTTTGTCGACGCTGAGGGTAACATTCTACAGGCGAATAGAATTAGACAGTCTGATGACGAATTCAACTTAAATACCACACAAACAAATATGTACTTAAATAGACTTGAAGTAGACAGCAAATCATATTTTACATCAAACACTGCTTCACCTTAATGCAGTCAGGTAGTGGTTCTGTGTTCATAGACTGCAGTGCGTCTCCCAGCAGGGTGAGGGCGCTCTCACAGCGCTCAGTCAGCTGCTCCAAACTCTGTGAAGAGCATGTTAATCTGCTGCAGATGTTGGGTCAGGCTTGTGGTAATTCTTAAAATGTTTATATTGAAGTTTATTGGTGTTTTTTATGGGTGTAGCTTAACTGTATTTTTAAACGTAAAAGATGTCTTGTTGTGGGAAATATTCTAAGTATATTTAACCAAAGTGCTATGTTTACACAGGCACAAAAAGATGTCCATTCAAATATTTTTTTTTTCATGTCATTGAACAGATTAAGTAGAAAAATCTTACTGTACGTCACCGGGAACTTGACATTTCAACATTGTGCCATGTTTACAAGAAACCAGCACTTTTGAGAAGAACTAATCACTGCATTTGTCAGATAGTGGCGTAAAATTGAATAAATACATTCAAAGTTTTGTTTAAAACTGTTAAACTAGATAGCCACAAGCTGGATAGTCAGAATAAGATGTAATGTGGACCATGCTAAAAGGCTGGCTATGCAGGACAACTTGCCAAGTAATTTCTTACCAGTCTAAAAGTGAGCCAGTCATCATGTGAGTGGTTAAAGTCTCCATCCATTTCTTTGGGCAACTGCTGCTTGTCCACAAACTGCTGAAGGATGTCCGTACCTCGTACTGTATGCACCTGAGAGTCAGAAAAATATCTAATGAGTTTTATCATCTACTCAAATGCTTGAGCGCCAGACTGAACGTAATTTTTTCCCACTGGAACTGAACGAACTCTCTGGGGAAGTGGCGGAGCTGACAGAAAGCAAACATGCTGCCAACACTTGTGTTGCATCTCTATGAAATCGTTGCTTTCTATGTGTCTGTGAGACGGTCTCTGTGACATAAATAATGAAATCTTCTGTCTGAGGTGTTTGCATTACAACTTTCATGTTTTATGTGTAGCCTTCCATGACATAGAAGAGACCATTTTGGCCACTACATCTAATAGATATAAATGCACTGATAATACAGATACAATCCAGAACTGGGAAATGTAAGCAGAGTTCAGAACAGCAACTAAAGGAGGCTGGGATATTATAAATTCCATATCATGGATGACATGTCTTGTCTAAATTTCTTTCATCATTTTCAGCTTTTTAGAGATTTCAGGTACCAGTAGCTGCTCCTCTGTCATGGTGCTTGAGCACAAAAATGATTGAAAAGCCCATTTCCTACTCTGTCCTAGCCCAAATTGATTGATAAATATTAGCTCAGTGAATAAACATGCACCTCTATTCCATCCAGACACGGTTGGGTCGATTTATCTTGTTCCTCAGTTAGGATAAGAACTGAGTCAAGCCCTGTTGCTGCCTGTCCCTGTTAGACACAAGCAGACACATACAGACAGACAAATCCAATTTAGAATCAATGCAAAACACCCACAGTACCACAAACACCATCCGTGCACTGACTCACCTTGAAGAGCTTCAGTGCAGAGAGACAGAGTTCAGACGTGGCAGACCTTCTGCTGTCCACTATGACAGTAAGACCCTTCTCTCTGGCCATAGGTCTGATATTTCAAAATAAGCACAAAACAGAACGCACATTAGCCAAGCACAGTAAAAGGTCATGAGATAGTGCCCTCCAGTCTAAAATTCAATGAAACAGGAAAATATAAATACTCAGCCAACTCTAACTTTAGCTCTCTCAGTATTAATGTTTTCTCCCAAAGAAACCAATGCATGTGAGGTGTAGTGACAGTCATGATGGTCTCTGTTACATGGGTTGAATAACAGACCTGGTGATGGTGTAATAGCAGGACAGCACTTTTATAATTTCATCTGTGTTCCATCCATCCTCTGGGAGGTGACCTTGTGTGATAACCAATGCTCGTCCCAGTCGGTCCATAGTACCTACATGAGAAATGACTTCATGTTAAAGGAAGCATAAATATTATGTAACCATTAAAAGTAAGAACATCTACCTGTTAATTTGAGCTTTCCTGTCTGCAGAAGATTGAAATCTAGGTCTCTAAGATGAGGAGGTGGAGATTTGGATTTTAAGTGCGCAGCAGATTCGGGTAATCCTATCTCATTTTGGGAATGGTCAGGAAAGGATGTGCCAGACTGACTTTCTGTAATACATGTTGAAATTGAACAAATTGAGTATGGAGTGAGCTATGACTTCAGCACTCAATAAGAGGCCACTTATGAGCATGAATTGTGATGATCACAACATTACCTCCATCTTTTGACTTTGCATCTGTTTCTGTGTCAGAGGCTGATACACAGCCTTTGCAATCTTTGGATAACTTAGGAGCCTCCTCTGATTGGCTAGAATGGCTGATTGGTTGGGTGGCTTTGGTTGGGTTTTTTGAGTCACCTTTGCCTTTATGTTGTACACGGCCATTGGATTTGGCCTTCCCTTTGCCTCCTTTGGCTTTCCTTTTCCTCCTGTAGGAAGGTACATTTATCTTTTTTAGTGATTCAACAATTGTTATGCATTTATATTAGCTATGGTATCCCTTGTATGGGCAGTACTGAGCACAGCAAGATGGTGCAGACAATTAAAACAATTTGAACAATCAAATATGCACTGGAAATTCACATATACTTGTCCATACCTGGGTGCTCTAAATCCACCTGTTTTTACTTCTTTTCCTCTAGGACAAACAAAGTTATCCGACTTTCCAGGACACTTTTCTTGTGTGGCGCTTACAGTACCTGATGGTGGCAAAATTGTATCTGTTTTCTCTTTACTGGTATTGTCTGAGTGCTTGGTTCTGCTTTGTGAACAACCTGATGAATCAGATGCATTTTTCAGGGAAGAATCTTGGAGAGACATTGTCAGTGTCCTAGATTCTCCAGCCAATTTCTTGTTTATGTCTTTTTTTTCTCCATAAACAGCCAACGAGACAGCTCCATTATCTGCAGCATTGGAGGGATTTGCTAACGTTGCAACCTCATGTCTACTGTCTAAAGTGCTGGCCAATATTTTGTCATCACAGCCACAGTGCAATCTTTGATTGTGGTCCTGTTGTCCCTCTTCCAGATTGTCTGCTTTGCTCTTAGCCACATCATTATCATCTGTGGAACATCGCCTGCTGGAACATTTCTTTCTCTGACACTCCTCCCAGGGCAGTGTACCCCCATTCCCATCTCTCTCTTTTCCTACCCCTGGCCTCCTCTCTTTTGCCAGACTGTCCATACAATGAGATCTGCATTCGAGACCTACTGGGTCTCTAGCATCTTTATCAGAGTACTGGAATGAAGGGGAATGTGTCCTTCTTTGGCGACCCAAATCAATGACACGAGGCAAGGGCCTTGAGGCAGCCAAGTCACTACAGGAAACTAATCCATCCTTACCGTTGTTGTTGCTATCCCTTCGTACCAGACTTCCAGCCCTAGCACCAGGTTCAGTCTTCCCATACCCTCTCCCCTTCCCCTTCCGTAATCGTATTGCTTTACCCCTCCTACACAGGGGCAATGTTTTGGTCTTACATATTCCATGCATCTCCAGGTAGCACTGTTTGGGATCAGCACCACCATCTGGGCCTCCTCTGGGCTCTAGCAGTTCAACATAATCTCCAGCACCATCAGCTACAAGATGGTCATCACTGCTTCTGCGCAGGGATTCTAATGCAGCCTCAATTTCCGCCTCATTCCCATCTGGAGGCAAGTCATCCTCTTCATCCCAGGACCAGGAATCATGCTCTCCTGAAGAGCTGCCCCAACCAAGGCCCAAACCCCCTGATGACAAGTCAGTTCGATCAGGATTGTCTTGGAGAGGATCGGATGGATTGTGGAGGAGTTTGGGATAGACCACCTCTTCCCATGGAATACGGACCACTCCGTCACATGTACTCACCAGACAAGTGTCCAAACGTCCTCCACCTACATGGAAAGAAAGTTTGAGAAGAACTGATAAAGAGGAAGAGGGGCCGCAATCACCCTCAAAAGGCAAACACAAACTTAAAGGCATTGCTTTAAACATCATGACACACTAAAATTTTTCTAAATATGATGCACCTTATTTCTACCATTGGATAGTATTTCCTAGCTTTCCACCATCTACCCTAACTATTGGTCTCCTAATTCCTCCATTTGTGTCTTACCTTCTCTCTTGCAGCCACGCTCCTTGTTGATGCAGTGTAGCCACTCTGAAGTAAACACCAGCGGATGCTGTGACTCTGGCACTAAGACCTCCTGTACGTTCCTCCCACCGGGTGCAAGGCACTTAAGAGCAAGGCGAGGACAACGCGTCGAGAAGGGGACCACCTGTAGGTAGAAGTCAGTACTATGCAGGAGTCTCCAGTCCAAAGTACAGAGTTGTACTACTACCTTCTCTCCCAAACACAGTGGCCAACCAGAGTGCAAGAAGAGACAGCCCAGATACTGTGACTGGGAGAAAGAGAGACAAATAATTGTTACAAAGACATTTGTACTAAAACCACAATGTTGCATGTTAAAACAATACAAAAACAGTGGAATATACCCAGTGTCTTCACAAAATTATATGTTCTTTAGTAGCAATTCACTGTGTCCTAACTAGGGCTGGCCATTACGCTGATATAAACAGGTAGGAATTTGACAACCAGTAGAGATTTAGCATTACTACCTCATGGTTACACTCACATGACATTGCAGTGCTGCTTTGTCATAAAAGTTTATCCTTTCCATGTGGTTTTAAGCCTTGCCATTTTAAACATTCAATTGATTTTAAATCGTTCAAGCAAAATAAGACACAAGAAAGTTCTCAATTTGGTACAAGCACGCTGTTCTGAGAGAAAATCTTCTGTGTACACACACCTAAAGCACATGCACAGAAAGCCACCTGTCACACAGCGTGAGCACTGCTTTTAGTTCTTTTTTTGATGTTTACTGTGCCTTAACAGTCAAATACACAAAAAGTTATGTAAAAAATGCCCATCTTGGGGTGTATTCATGTAAACACAGTTGGTTATGTCTTAGGTGAGTGTAAACATTTGGAAAAGAAATGGAAGTCGTTATATTTTACCAGATCCATGCATTAGGTCTTAAAGTGACAGCTGCCTAATATGCCTGTTGGAGTTAATTTTATCAAACAACAAAAGAAAAAGAGAAAAAATAATCTTGCCTGGTTTGTCATTGTCATTGTATATTTGATTCATTCAGTGAAGACATTGTCTTCAGTGAAGGCAGTGTTTTATTTTATATTTAATTTATTCCGTTAGAGACACCTACATGAAAACTTGAAACCATGTTTATTTCATTTGCATCTTTGTTCTAATGTATGTATTTGTCCTATTGCTTATTTCATTACTGACTGTTTACTTGTCTTCAATAAGCTTAAGAACATTTTACTTAAATTAGTTAGGCTCGTATTTGTTTTTGCTGCGGTATTGAAATTAAGAACTGTGAAACTCAAGTGTCATCTAAAGTTTTGGAGATTTAACAACCTTATTCTCAAAAAACTGACGCAAACACAATCACAGCCAATCAGTACAGATTTGAAGTTAAATAATGGAGTAGAATTTTAGACTAAAGAAATGTCATTATAGGCATGGCTATCTAGTGTATCTACAGCTTAACTGCTGAGAAGATGCTAATAACTCTTAGCTAGTGTATCATCACTCATTACCTCAGCTTTGTGTGCATCGCTAAATATTGAACTGTGTTACAAATTACACATGTATCGTTCACATTAATCATATATATTCTCATTTCCTGCATTTGAAAGTGTGTACTTACCTCACAACCCGAAAATCTTAATGTAGATTCAAATGCTTTTTCTTCAGGCTATAGGCCTAATTATCCCATGACATGAATCCCCCCTCATCCGTGCCCACTCACAGGACCATGATCAAATTATGTTCAGGAATCCAAGCCCCTCCCCTCCTACATCATCAGCCCTTTTTTCTAAAACCCAACCCTCTGTTTTATGGTATGCAATTTACTGTCATTTTAAAAGATATGAAAGTGTCTTCAGCGCATCTAAAGAATGATTGTGAAGTCATATTCCTTCATCCTCCAGTGAACAGCCCCTAGTTTTCTCGTTCTGATATTCCCTTTCTACCCTCTTTCTCAATGTGCCCCAGTGTTCGGTCTGTTTATCCCTCCCCCATTTCTCAAGCGAACGCTCCTCCAGCCTTTCTCAGGCCCTTGTCTCTCTCTTTCTCACACACACATATGGTAAGAATTACAGCCATGACTCAGACCGAGGCTCTTGTCCCTGGCAGCTTCTCGTAGCGACGATGAAAACAGAGCCGGCTGAGAATGTGTGTGTCATGTATTTATGTAAGTGTGAGAGAGTTTCATAGTGAACATTTTCCGTGTTTGTGTGTGACTTAACGTGTGCAAGGGAAAAGTACTAAGTTACTACATTGGAAGTAAGAGTGGTACTGCATCAGTTAGTAGATTTTTACAATGTCAAATATGATTTACAAGTAGTTTCTAAGAGGTTCTAGGTGGTTGCTAAAGTATTTGTGGGAAACTGTCTCAGGTTCCTCCTTCAATGTATAGGGGAGTTTTAAAATATTTTTATCACCCACAAGGTAAAAATCCTTGGTTCAAGGACTTAAAGTAATTGCTCACCTCTCCTCAACAAACTGAAGTTTAATTGTTAAGGACAGGGATTTTAACAACCCTCTAATGTTAAGGTTTCTTTTATTGTAACCTTAACCTTATTTAACCCTAAGTATGGTTAACAGTAATAGTGGCGCTGGCCTTAGCAGCCACCACTAATAAGTGAAGACTTACACACGCATGCTGCTGTAATCTGTGCAGAAGGTGTTTGGCAGGAATGAAGAAATCCAGCAGATATCTCAAGCTGTCGTGCTGATAGGTGGACTCGAGTACGGAGAACACCTGCATGACACAAACACACAGTCAAGACAGACTTTGAATGTTGGCTTGCTGAAGGCGTTAAGTCACAAGGTTATTTAGTCCATGCATTTTTAATAATTAAGCAATGAGAACTGAGATTCAGAGTTTAATGTTAAGGCTTGGGCAGTTTGAAATCTTTGAGAGTTCGAAGATATTTCAAGTGGAAAAAGTCGTTGCTAGGGAAATTTTTTTGAATATTTGATTGTCTGCTACATGGGAAACCATAATAAGGAATTGTGCTGACTTTGGTAGACATAAATTGACAACTCTATGGTCTCACCTGAGAGAGGAGAGGAGGAGCGGTGCTTTCAAAAGGAGGGTAGAGGGAAGATAGCGCCCCCTGCACGCAGTCCTCTACCGCCTCTGAACCCTGAAACACAGATTATATCAACACGAGCTGATGAGAACATTCACATGTTAGTCATCACAACCGGCAGCTTGCTCTTCTCTTCCTCGCCACAAACACAACTTCCTGTTTTGTGTTCTAGAGAGCATCTAAAACTTCCTGTGGGCCAAATGGTCATCATTGCCTTTCAACAACTGCACTGGATTCAGAAACTCTGTATCTTATCTGAATAACACGGACCAGTGTTGGGGAGTACATATCTGACTAAAAGAAACAATGCCACTGACTTATCAACATGTTTACTTTTTCAATGGACGCTTTTCACAGACTTTGATGACGAAGGGTCATCGGCATCGTAAATTATGTATTTTTTATTATATTAAATGACGGTACATTTCGCATTGTTCTTTCTTCAGACTGCCGTTATGAATCTCTCTCTCTATTTTTTCCTCTTTTTGAAAATTGTGAAAACGCCATCATGGAGTCTTTCTTTTGATATTTGTTCAAATGTGAACACAAACACATATACCTGAGGATGT